TCTCCTCAGCTGACCTCTCAGTTTTCCTTTCACACTGATGTTAGATGCAGAAACAAAGTTTTGTATGCTACTAGAGCAAAGGGGAGGATTCATTTCCATACATACATGAACTTTACTGTAGATCAGTTTCTTCCAAAAATAAGACAGAACGACCTATTCGAAAAAAAGAAGACACTTCCTGAGGGAGAGACAGAGAGGAGGACGGGGAAAGAAAGGGAGGGAGCGCTGAAGATGAAGACAGAGAGAGGAAATGTTTGAGGCTCCAGTCTTTCTTATTTGAAACCGTCTCTTTACTGTTGGACTCCCGGGTGGCTTTCACGAGCGTTTTATGTATAATTTAACGTAATGTGCGGAGATAAAACCTCCAATAAAGGCCGCGCTCTCTAAGCTCTTCACAGCACATTACGTTTTATTCATCAAATTAGTTTTAGTTGGTTTGGTATCCCCTGAGCCGTCTTTAAAAGGTTTAGATGAAAGGACTACATTAATTTTGCCACTAATCAGTTAAGTGACAGCTCCAAGTGACAGCTATGCACTCCTTACCCCCAAAAACCTCTCTGCACACTCGTCTCTCTGCCACGCCTGTTTCAGATCCACTGTCCCTGTTTGCTCCCTGCACCAATTCACCACACACATCCTACATTTTTCATTACTTCTTCAAATGTTTCTTCTAATTTGACACTGTGTTTTACGATTTAAAAAAATAAAAAATAAAAAAAGAAGCTATGAAGTGATTATATACTGGCCATAAATGTGACTAGGCATGTTTTGCGGCAAAGCGTGATGGATAATCATGAGGCAAAAGGATTTTTTTTTGTGAAGCAAAGTAGAGCACAGTGCAGATAATTACGGCTAATATTTGGAATTCTCCAAGCTAAGTTTTCATTAGTTTAATTACCAACTAAATCCCTAAAAGAGCACATTTTTAAAGTAGTGTCAAGTGTATTTTATGATTTCGATAAAAATAACAAAACATTCAAAGCTGCAGGTTTAATGGACAGGAGGGAAGAAATGAGTGGACTTACTGGAGCAGGGAGCGCTTTGGGAAACTGAAGGTGCCGTGAGAGATGCGGTCGATGAAGTTTAGTGAGATCTTCTGGATTTGTTCACACTGGAGCATGATGAAGTCGTACTTGAAGACCAGGAGAGTGTTGTCCGTGATGAGAACAAGACGCTCCTTTTCATTGTTCCAGTGATCTACCCTGAAATCAACAGACAGTGTGAGGCAATGTTTGTTTCATCAACAAAACTACGACAAAAATCCTCTTGATTCCAACAGTCTGAGATCTGGTGGAAAATAAATTTTTTATGTAAACATTGAGAAATAAGAATCATTTGAAAACAAAAAAAAACTTTAGATTTTGCTCTATTTTGAACTCAGCAATCAAATTGAAGCAAATTAAGCCATTTTCAGACTCGCAGTCCTTTCTGTTAATCAGACGGCATTAAAACGTGTCGGCTTTTTGTCTTAATTGACATCCTGGTCACTTTTCCGTACGAGTCACAGTTGCAATCCTAATAGGTTGCATCTATTGACATTTTCATATCATCGTTACCACAACACAAGTCTGAGCTGCATCCTGTTACATTAACAGATGTGTAGTGTCAGGTTTGAGTATTTCACCACCAGTATTGCTCCAAAAACATCACAGAGAGCACAAAGCACATTTTTACATCTATCACAAACCAAAATCTTTACAATAATAGATGTACTGTGGGGCTGCAGGGTGGCGCAGTTGGTAGCACTGTTGCCTTGCAGCAAGAAGGTTGCCAGTTCACGTCCCGGTGGGGGCACCGGAATCTTTCTGCATGGAGTTTGCATGTTCTCCCCGTGCAGCGTGGGTTCTCTCCGGGTTCTCCGGCTTCCTCCCACACAGTCCAAAAACATGCTGAGGTTAATTGGTGATTCTAAATTGTCCGTAGGTGTGAATGTGAGTGTTCTTGGTGGTCTGTCTCTAAGTGTGGCCCTGTGATAGACTGGCGACCTGTCCAGGGTGTCCCCTGCCTTCACCCTAAGTCTGCTGGGATAGGCTCCAGCCCCCCCGCGACCCTAGTGAGGATTAAGCGGTGTATAGATAATGGATGGATGGATGGATGTACTGTGATGAAGACACAGTCTGCACATCAGATTAATGACACTCAATTATAATTAATTGTTTAATTAATTACTTTTGTCAAAACATTACTAAGAGCTGAAATTCAGATCGTTGCTTCCAGCTGCTTGTAGGAGTTTTTCCTCTGAGTTTAATAAATACCTGCAGTATCAGACAACAGCTCCATATGAGCATCTCCAAAGAGAGGGTATTAGCATCACTGATCACTTATCATATAAATGATCCTCGACATAGAAACAGGATCAGTCAGGATCTAACAGCAAAGCACACTGTTCTTTACATCAGAAAGGTGAGCTGAGTTGCAGTTTAACAGTTACAGTTAAATCATTTGTTACACACTGGATTTAGATTTAGTCTTTTACTTACTGGTGCATTATTATGAACTGTGTGGCTTGATGTACTGCCCAATCTTGTGCAATCTCTTCGTAGTGGGTTTATCTGACTAAAGCTGTAAGGAACATTTACATAAAAGTGAACTATGAGTGACTCACAGAATGCCGTCACTTTAACAGAATGATGTTTTGTATTCTATTTCTGAAAAGGGCTTTTGTGTGAAGTGCATTTCAGATGTTTGGAATCTGAAGGAGCTGATTTAAAGTTAACACGCACACAAAAAAAAAACATGTAGTGCAAAGCTGCTCAATTATGTACTGTAAAGGTTTCACAATTTCCAAAAACGCCTTTGGCAAAGATCATACAAAATGTATGCAAGCATTTCTAAATCCCTAAAAAAAAAGTAAAACAAGAAAAGTTTGATTAAGAGAAACACCATTAAAGCCAACAGCTGAAGTGTGCTTTCTCTTATGTCCACGAAATGTGTTCAAAAATGTTTTCTGTATTAATTGAAATCACAAAAAAACCCCTCTTTTCACACAGAGACACACACTCCATCGCTCAACACTGTGCACACACAGCTAATTCATGGTGGCATGGATTCTCTCCGAGTGGTTCTTTCTTACGGCCCGCTGAGCCGGGTGCACGTGGCCAACTTCGAGTGAACCACTGCTGATTGCTGCTGGCAGCCGTAGGCCAAAAAAGACAGTTCACTGAACAGCCAAGGCATCATGGGAAAGGTGTGGGTGAAGAGCTCTGAAATTAGTTAGCCTTGACTGGGCATGGGTGTCGAGCATGGTACAGAGGTGTTGCAGAGATCCAGGATCAGACTGTGGGTCGGCTGGCTGACAACAAGTGAAGGGAGCACCTCTGCAGGGCACATAGTGCATTGTTTGATAGGGCATACGCTACGTTTTGTAAGAAAATTCTTTCATTGCTGTCTTGCTGACCAGTTAGACATGAGAAGACTCTGTCATGTCTGGATGCTAAGTAGCGACAACTAGCAGCCTATTTCGTTCCCACGCATTAATAACTCGTGGCCACGATTTACTAATACGTAGGAACGAGTTATTTTTATTTCTTATCGATGTCACCAGATGGGCTCCGTACAAATGCTGTGATGTTTTTGTCGTTCTTTTCTTCCAACAGTCAGGCATTAACCAATTCAGTGACGTGCGGTCTGGGGAGCAAAAAATATATGATGATAAAATAATTTAAATGGTTATATTTATCCAGTGATTTGTACTATAAAGTAATTATTTTTTCATTTAGCTTCTTCAGTTTTGATGATTTTTAAATTAAAAATCGCTGAATTTTCGCAATTTCCCATTCAAATGCTTGGAAGAGAAGCCGATGAGGCAGTTGCGAGGATGAGCTCGCTGCTGCCTCATTTGGATTGCGCAATCCCTCGCTACCTATGCTGGCTGCCTGCACTGACAGCGTGCTGCTGTCTGGATGTCGCCAATAACATGTTTCAAACACATTTAATATATGAACTGATTTTCCATAGTTCAGCTGATGCATATAATCATGTTCAGTGTTTTTTTGTTACCAACTGTATGTGCGTAACGTGTTCCGTGTGCTGAGTGATCATAAACGACTGAGAAGAGCTTCCAGGAGAGGCAGGCAGTTCTCTTGTCTCATGGCAGGAGGCGCTCTGATCCCAGACATGCTTCTTGTGACTCTGTGGCTGCAGAGTAAGTGACAGCAAGCTAGACTAGGTACGGTATACAGTTAGCAAGTCAAGTAGGCGAGGCTGGGCGCCAACGCTAGCAGGGTTGCCTTAGCAACATGCGCAAATTTCCCCCAAACACCGCCGGTGTAATAAAAACACAAAAAATGCCACAATACAATGTACTCTTTTACACTTATTTCATACTACGCGTATTGTCCTTCAACAGTAGTACATTCATCAGTAGCACTTCAATCCGTTTATTTTAGTTTATTCATACAAAAAAACAACCCTAGTTGTAAACCCCAAGAAGAACTACATATTTCATGGCATGTCCAATCAAGTTGTATTGTAACGCTACTGGAAGTTGTGGTTCTTTCTTCAAAATAGCCGTTTCTCCTAAATGGAGGGTGAAATATAAAACTTTAGGTGCCTTTAGGTTTAAATTGTTGAGTACCCATTTAGGACTGAATTTACAAATGAAATTGAGAGACATACATATATATATATATATATATGAAATTGAGAGACATACATATATATATATATATATGTGTGAAATTGCACACAAAATTATGAAAAAATAATAAATGCAATTGAGGGCAATAGTATTATAATACAAGTTCCGAAATTGAGATCATCTTACTCTTTCTAAAGCTCGTGACAACCTGCAGCAAAGCCAGATTTGAGGAATTTCTCATGCTTTTCTGACATTAGTCACCGGCCTCCCTTGGGTAAATTCAGTCACAGAATTACCATATAATGCACTCTTTCTGTTGCAAGAGGTCCTAAAGCGGCTTCTGTAGCAACGATAACAGCGGGCCAAATGTAGGACAGGCGTGTGTGGACAGAACTGCATAAATTGGGATGTATTATTCATCCTCACATGGCCAGCCTTTTAAATGTTTCCTGAAAGCTTGTGCAGGATTGATACAACCTGACATCTGCAAGTGCACTTGGTAAATGTCCTGCAGTCACTTTATTTTTGTCTGTTAGATCACTACCTTGCCTTGATTTATGGGGTATTCTAGGAGTTTTGGCTGTAACAAATACATTGATATTTGTGTGAAAAATTAAATAAAGAGGATGTCTGCGTTCGATAAGGCATTAGAAACCTGTACAATAATATAGAACAAGGTACATGTGCAGAATTTCAGGCAAGCAGCCAGTTTCTCCCTGAGGGCAGCAGGTCACTGCAGTGCCAATACATATGTTAATGATGGATTATGAATGAGCAGCACACGATACTGTAAACTCACTGTACATTTACAGCCACGTCCCTACTGGCAAGTGAGAACCGCATAACTCCAGTTTACAAAAAATACAAGTTTGTATGTGAGGTGAGAAACAAAAGGTATAAACAGGATTTCTAATCTGCTTGTGAAACCAGATTTGTAGCACGATATAATGCAGTTTTATGTAGAAAAGAATGTTCTTCAAAGCATATTCAATTAGATAATTAACAGAATATTAAACTGCATCAAATTTGCATGTTATTTTTAAAATAATAATACAAAAAAGAAGCATTGATTCCAATGACCTAAATGTAAGCCTTTGCAGGTATTTCACCCCTTTGTGATGGTAAACTTATATATAAATATCTTCAGGATCTGGCAAATTAGCTCAGACTGTATCTTTTGTTATACTGTTGAACACTGCTACTGAATAAAATCAAATCTTTAATTTGCAAACTGAAAACATTAGTGCACCGAACAGCCTCAACATTAAAACCACTGACAGGTCAAATAACTAATATCAGAAAAATGGGGAAAGAAATTAGATTTCTTATTTTTCAGGTAATCCAAATAGCTAATAACAGTCAAACTAGCTGTTTGGGTGGATGGAAATAATGTTGTTTGATTCTTTTGCAAGATCTCTATCTACTGACTGATTTCTATCAAAAGTAAATAACTGTGGGCTGCAAGGTGGCACAGTTGGTAGCACTGTTGCCTCGCAGCAAGAAGGTTGCTGGTTAGCGTCCCAGTGGGGGCACCGGAATCTTTCTGTGTGGAGTTTGCATGTTCTCCCCGTGCAGCGTGGCTTCTCTCCAGGTTCTCCGGCTTCCTCCCACACAATCCAAAAACATGTTGAGGTTAATTGGTGATTCTAAAATGTGTGGCCCTGTGATAGACTGGTGACCTGTCCAGGGTGTCCCCTGCCTTCGCCCAAAGTCAGCTGGGATAGACTCCAGCCCCCCATGACCCTAGTGAGGATTAAGCGGTGTATAGATAATGGATGGATGGGTAAATAACTGTGCAATCTTCATCTGTGTCTTTTTAACATAAAATACAAAAAAGATTTTTTTATCTGCACTTTCTTAACATTTTGTGCAATCTGTTATCACATCACAGCCTCTTCTCTGCTCCCTGTTTCAGATCTGTTCCTCCACATTCACTACAGATAGATGTCTCTTATCTGACTGAATGAGCTACTCTACATTTAATCATATTCATAGAGGTAGTGTTTCTGCTTCTTGCAAATGTCTGACCTGAGTATGTTCTATGCAATGTTTTTTGCTTATTATTTACTTAAATATATATATGCTTGTTTTTTGTTGATTAGACTCGTCTGGTAGTTCATCTTGGGGGGTGTAAGAACAACTGCAAACTGTCCACATTCGAATTTGATCTAGCACCTGCAGGATGTGCTGAAAAAGCCAAATCCATGGAGGCCTCAGGCCGTTATCACAGTGCCACACACCACCGGACACAACCAGAGGTCCATGGACCAGTGGGTCAGAGCTGTGTGGCAGCACCACAAGGACCTACAGGTGGCTTTGATGTTGTGGCTGATCAGAGTGTAGCTCTGTGAAGCATCCATTGCTATTCAATTAAGACTCTGCCCTAAAAATGAATGATTTATAACATCATGTAATAGCTGCAATCATCTAAAATAAAAACATCTTATCTAACCACAAAATGTAAATAATTTAGCATATTTATAAACTGCATAATTGTAATGATTCATGTAGTATTCATTAATGTATTTATATTCTCGTTTTTGGTCTCTATGATAACTGAGTAAATACACTGATGCAGACAATGAAATGCAGCTGAAGTCTTTGAAACATGTAGCAAGTGGCTCTTAAGTAAGTGAAAAACAATTTTGCATTTTGTCAAACTGCCTTTTCCAAGATCCAGAAAGAAACATTCAAGCTCAGCATGGTTATAATGACGTTCAGACAAATTAAGAGCAAACCTGCCAATGAATGATTTGTATATACAAACTGTTAGTAAATGCTTCATAACATTCTGAGTTTGTTGAGGTTTTTATAGTTGTATTATATGACATTATAAAGCAGTCATCATCTGTACATATATTAGTTACTGGTGCTTCATAGATATGATAAAGAGTGACGTCTGTCCCGGCACACCCCACTCTGCAGGAATCTGGTGGGTGGCGTCTAAACATGAGACCAGCTCACCTGGTCTGACTCCAGGATATACAAGTGGTGGCAGCCAACCAGTCCTTCTGCACTCACTGGCTTTTGACCTTGTTTGGTTTTGTTGCACATTGTTTCTACTGTTCTGTAGTTTACTTCTATAAAATAACTTGAGCAAGGTCGTGTCAAAACATGTACCTTAAACACACCTGAAAGTTTCTTAGAAACATGTATAACTGCATTGCAATGCTTCCTTTTAAACACTTACTACATGTTAAACTGTTTCTAAAGGCTAAATGGGGATAGGTGTGGTGAGGTTATGGTAAAGAAAACATTACACTGCACATGAAGCTGGTCTCAGGAACTTACTCTGCCATCAGCCAAATGCTGTGAACGCTGCCATCCACCTCCTTATTCACCAGAGCTTCGATGTCTTTGATGGCCTGATTCAGAGTGCCAGGCTGAGGAGACAGAAATGCACGGGTGTCACTTTCTAATTTTCCATTGTGACAATCACAACGTGTGCACAGAAAGCTTAAGGGGTAATCTTTGAGGCAGATGTGCAGCTGGGACTGGTAAAATGTCAGCGCATCTGTGTGTCAAACAAAATAACAATAAACACAAACATGAAGCCTGGGCATGTGAAAATCACTGCAAACAAAGAAAGCTGAGCGTGTGGAAATCTGAGTAACTCAGGTATTTGAACACACAAGGGGAAGCTTCGGTACATAATACACATTCAAACTGCCAGCTACATGCATTTCTTTTTCTAATGCTGTTCCATCCTTGCACTTTATGTTTTATTATTTCAGTGCCAAGTTGGAGAACTTAAAAAGATTAGGAGTTCAAACTGAGGACTCCTGACAGTCTTATTGTAATCTGAGGCTGGTGCCGAGCTGGCCTGGCAACACAGGATGTGTGACTGACTTCCCGTAGCAATCCAATATGACAAGCCTGCAATAAACTGTACCTTTGGGATACTGATTATATTCTTTTTAGTTCTGGCATATGTAGATTCATGAGAATTTTTCATTTAAAAAAAAAACAAAAAAGATATTTCAGTCAATGTACTTCCTTTTTTTTTTTTTTTTAGCACAAACAAAGCTTTTTGTTAATTTTTTTTTTTTATAACACTGGGTTATATGAAGGTTACATACAAAGCAAGACACAATTCATCTGAAAAATGGCAATATATATAGTTGCTTCAGAAAGTATTCAGACTCCTTTTTTTGACACTTTGCAGTGTTGTAAATTTCATTTTAAATGAATACATTGGTATCGATCTACACTCAATAACCCATAATGACAAACAAAGTGAAAAGTATACACACCCTTAAAGGTATTAAGTTAAATATATTAATCTCTTTTTTTATTGCCAATGTGTGAACAGATTCTACCTTAAAAAAGGAGACCTTCCCCGACCATCTCAGGTTTCTATATCTATGGACTGACTTCTATGTTAAGGACTCGAGAGAAATTTTCCAAAATAAAATCCAAATGATGTGATGTTTATGCTCCCTCTATAGTGCCTTGCTTCAGTGTCTCCCTTCTGGTTCCTACAGCACCAACACTGGGCACAACTGGCACAACACCCAACAAAAAGCCCTATAAAGTTTCATCTGGTGAAGCCCGTCTGGCCAAACAGGGGACAACTAAGATCAATACCAGCAGGCCGGTTGATTCATGGAGGAAGAAAACAGGGAGAAAACAAAAAAAATATTTGTCAGTGTCAGGTTGCTGCACTCCAGAGCAGGTTTTCTTTAGGGAACCTCTGCGTATGTGGCTTCATCCTTCCCTCAGCCAGTCCCCTTATCCCTGTTGTTGAGAAGCAGCCCCATGTATGATGCTGCCACCACCATGCTTCACTGTATTGATGATATTTCAGAGCCCTTTAAATGATGTTTGACAAGCTCAAAGTGAGTTGCCATGTCCCTTCTACTCAGAGTGGTATCCATATAGCCAATCAACCATAAAGGTCTGAAGGATGGAAAACAGCTGAGGTGGCCGTCTGTGCTCAACTCTACAAAGAGTCCTGGTGGTTCCAGACTTCTTTCTTTTCATTATTGAGGACACTGTGCTCCTGGGAACACTCAACACTTTAGAAAAGTTTCATATTCTTGCCCTGATCTCTGTCTCACCACAGTTTCATTACAGAGGTCTATAGAGAGTTCTTGGATTTCATGGCCTGGTTTTTATGCTGGCATGCAGTGTGAATTGTAGGATCTCATATTCACAAGTGTGTGTGTGTGTGTTTCTGATCTCTCTCCAATTAATTCAACTTGCCAAAGGTGGGCTCCGATCAAGTCCTAAATACATCTTAAGGATCATAAAAGCAAATGTCCACAGTTAAGGATGACACAGCAAAGTGTCTGAATACTTTTGAGTATCAGAGATTTCAGTTTTTGGTTTTGACGCATGACTTTGCGTTATCCGCATGAGTTATTGAGCGTAGACTGATGGGGAAAAAAAACTTAATTTTATCCATTTAAAATTAATAAACAACACAATGAAATGAGTAAAAAGTGAAGGAATCTGAATACTTTCTGACGATATAAATGCTGTACCAGGTAGAACATCAGCTCAGCCAGATGATGTATTGATTTTAGTTATTGTGTCAAAAGAATTACTTTGTATTTACCACAGTGGTGGAGAAAATACTAAGATCCTCCCCATGATTACACGACTGGAATTTCAACTAAATTCACTGTTAAAGTTTGAAAATCCAAAAGTGTCACATATAAACAATTGAACGGGTTCATCTTCAACGTCTCTTCGAACCATGTGGATCATGAAAATCTAACTCCTGCTAATCAACTTTAAGAAAAACAACTGGTAAGACTAGCAATAATGGTGTATTGCCAGTTTTACTAGTATAACCAGTTGTATTTCTGTGATGCACAAAGTGAAGCTGCCAGATTCCTGAATGGTTCTGACCCAGGTCTGGGCCATATAAAGCCTGGAATGATGGCCCATCTGCGGTCTACTCCTGGCTGCTCAATGTCAGCCACAGATCAACCAAGCCAACCACATGTGGCTGATCTGGTGCTATCTGGGGTTTAGTCTTTGCCACATGTGCTCCAGATGAGACGTTTTTAAATAAAAGCAGCTGTCAAATAAACCCAGTTCATAGAGCAAGAAAACATGCCCCAAATATGTAGAGGACGAGCAGAAGATACCAAAACCCCCAAACATTCAAGTGACATTTAAGTACTACCTTGCAAAAAATAAAATATAAAAATTTAGAGATGAGCGCTAACTGGTAAATAACAGCTAAATACTGCATTTGTAAGTTTGGACAGTTTTTGAATGTCACAGTATTATACTGTATGTGTTTTTTTCTCATTTCTTTACTGTCAAAATTACACCTTTTTTTCTTCAATCTTTTATTTTACACAAAGAAAGTAATTTTATTGGTCTGTGTTTTGTTTAAATAAATTACCATTCTAAACTGTTTGAAATGGTATATTATTGATATAAAATGATGGATTCTGGTAAAGCTACATAGTTGGACTATGCTTTTATAGCAGATTTGCTGAAAAAAGGCTATTTTCTGTATTTTACTGATATATCCTCTTAGTATGTAAAACACAGAAAAAAAAATATTTATGTATGGTCAAAGTCCATAAAATAGAATAGAATAAAACATATATTCAGCCAAATTTATACTGGAAAAAATATTGTTTAAAAAAAAACAAAAAAAAAAACAGCTAGAAAATAATGGACTTCGAAAAGTTCAATAACTGCAAAAGCAGTGAAACTATCTGTGAAATAATTGTAGTTAGACCAGATCTAAATACAGTAAAACAAATTACTTTTGGTAAAAATTCAGATTTTTGATGTGGATATTATTTACACGCTATTTTTAAAGTCAACATTTGAAATAAAGCCTTTTCCTCATGATTTTACCAGATGTTTTCTGTATCTCAACAAAAGGACAGAAAGCTACAAATTCACTTTTTTTTAAAATTGCCATTTTTCAGTTGTTTATATAATTTCTCTTTTAAATAAGGCAACTATCTGTAAAATTATGTTATTTTTTTCTGATTCAAATTCAGTAAAAAAAAAAAAAAAGAGAGAAAAAAAAGGAATTTATGGTTAAATGTAAAAGAGCAAAATACTATTATTTACACTTTTGGCCTATTTTTTATGGTTAAATCTAAACTTTTTTCTGTGGTTTTACTACCTGTCACCTTTAGTATAATAAAATAGGGCAGATCTATGAAAAGTTTAAAAACTGTTAAAACACGTTGATTTTTAACTGTGTGCTACAGAACTTAAGGAATTGGATCCATCTGGCAGTCAGTTATAGTAAAGTGCAAATGTGACATGTTTACCCTCAACACGAAGAACCTCCTGGTTTTAAACTGGTCCAGAGGCGACAGCACATGCCGGCCACCGGGCTCACAGCGGGCCGCTCCGCCCTCCGCCGGCCGCTCCTCCGCGTCCTTAGAGCGGCCAGCAGCCGGCTGGGAGTCCTCTGGGCCGCTGGAAGAGGAGCTGAGCGGCGGCTGTTGCTCTTCAACCGGCGCTGCTTCCTCCTCAGCTCCTGCCATGATGCGGATTCACTATACACCTGAAAACAGAGCAACAGCACCGACGTGGAGCTTTTTATCGCCGGAGTTGGTGCGCCTTGACGCTGCGCTCTGACTCTTCCTGCCAACATAAAGCAAACCTCTGCCGACGGACTTTCCCTGAAACTTAAGTAACTGTCAGAAAGTGACAATTCAGAGAGGTTTCTTTTCTTACCTTTAAACACAAAGGCCGCAGTCGGCGCTGACAAGTGGATGAAGAGGCAGCAGCAACAGGTGCACAACTTCCTTGTTCCGTGTCCAACATTGACTTTGGAGGCGGTAGCTGCAGCATCTGAGCAGCTGGCAGGCCTCTTGTCTGATCTAGAACCTGCACTCTCACTGATTCACGCGATTACTTTAAAGAGCTGCTGTTATAGGTATAGCTGGACTGATTAATCACTAGTTTTAATGCATTTATGACTGCTATTAGATTGGATTATGTCACTAGTTTGTAGAGTGACTCACTAAGTTGCAGGGCCAGATTTACCTGTTAGGGGGCTATAGGGCAAAACATGTTGGCACCCCACCCTCCCTTCAGACACCCGCATACAGAGCCAGACAGGGTTTGAAGGCATTTTTTCAGTCGATATCTGTTGGCCAGGTCCTGTCACTCTTATCTTGTGCCTCTTTCTTATCACTGATGGAGAAAATGTCACTATGTAGACACACATGAGAATCCATGTACATATAATACAGACATATAATGAGCTTTATTATGTAACCCTCAGCTGATTCAAACCTACAACTGTTGCTAAAGTTATATTTTTTAGTTTTTTTAATTGTTGACGAAGCTCAACAATTGATGAAATGATTATAATTTAAATTACATTTATTTGACACTTTATTTGTTTTTGCTTTTATATATATATATATATATATATATACCTGTCCAGGGTGTGTGTATATATATATATATTGTGTGTTTTATTCTTTATTCTTACTCTTATTGTTTTGGTCTGGATCAAGTGCATAATACATTTCACAGCAGGTTATGCTATGTATAATTGTGCTTGTGACAAATAAAGGTCTTGAATCTTGAATTTTGATTAGTACGCTCAAGACTCTAATGTCAAAAATGTCCTTGTTCTGTTCAGGACACACACTTTGTTGAGACACTGGCTACGTTCCAATACTCACCGTGACATACCGTACAGGGGGCCAGAAAAAGATTTAGTGTGTGTCAAAACATGAGAGTACTTCGAAAAGTTCTCAGCCTCACCAGAAAACATCACAGGAGGAAGACTGTTTTTGCATTATTCACCTTTCAGTTTTTGTGGACGGTGATATAAGACTTTACGATATATTGTTATGCTATGGGAGTTACGCAACTTATTTTCAGGTGAGGCCAAGAGATTCTTGAAGCACCCTCATATAGCACGTCAGATGTAATATGTCAAAAATATCTTTGTCCTTCTACATTAGGTTGGATTTTGCAGTCAGCGATGCTTTTCTGGCCTACAATCCTCTGCACAGTTACATCACAAACACTACAGTGTCTCGTGTGAGTATAAATAAACCGCTGAGAGTTCACAGACAAATGAAAGCTTATTTAGAATGACAGGAATTAAGAATAAACTGAGAACAACTAAATAAATAATAAGAAAATTAACTCAACTCAACTTTATTTATAAAGCACTTTAACACAACAAAAGTCAAAACAAAGTGCTGAACACAAAATGTAAAACACTTTTACAACATCTAAAATGCAAAATACAATAAAAGTATAGTAATAAAATAATTCAAAAGGACAATAAGAACAGTAAAAGCAACAAAAAAACAATATAACAATAAAACAGCAGCTGTAGGCCAGGGCATAAAAATTCTTTTTCGGACAGATTTTAAAAATGGACAGTGAGGGCGCCGCTATAGCTCACCAGGTTGAGCTGGCGTCCCATGTACAGGGCTACAGTCCCGATGTGGAGGTCATGGGTTTGAATCCTGCTCATGACCCTTTCCCACACATCCTCCCCCTACTCTTCTCTCCCACTTTCCTGTCTCTCTCTCACTGCACTGTCAAATAAAGGCACAAAGGCCAAAAAAAAAACTTTAACAAAAAAAAAAAAAAAGGACAGTGATGATGCTTCTCTAATGAGCAACGGCAGAGAATTCCAGAGCCTTAGAGCTGCAACTGCAAAGGCTCTGTGCCCTCTAAGCTTCTGGCTGGACCTCGGAACCTCCAGAAACAGCTGATCAGCTGATCTGAGGCACCGGGCTGGTGAGAAATCAGCTCAGAGAGGTACTGTGGGGCGAGAACATTTAAGGATTTAAAAACAAATCAAAGAGAGTGTTTTTGGACTGTGGGAGGAAGCCGGAGAACCCGGAGAGAACCCACGCTGCACAGGGAGAACATGCAAACTCCACACAGAAAGATCCCAGTGTCCTCACCGGGACACGAACCAGCGACCTTCTTGCTACGAGGCAACAGTGCTAGCCACTGCCCCACCTTGCAGCCCAAGTTAGAAACAGTTGGTTTTAAGAAACTAGCCAAAAGACCCAAAACGACTGGGGAGGTGCCCTGGAACCATTCGGCCCAAACACAACAACCTCTGTTTTCGTTACAGTTTGAGAAATATAGGGCCATACAGTTCTTAATGTCACAGAGACATGACACAAGTGGCTCAATTGAATAAGCGTCCTTCTTTTTTAGCGGTAGATAAATCTGGCTGTCGCCAGTGTACAGATGAAAGGAAATGCCACGCAGTCTCAAGATGGACCCTAAAGGAAGAAGATACAAATAAAACAACAGGGCCCTAAAATTGAACCCCACAGGACACTGGAGCCATGGTAGATTCAACGCCGTTTATGCTGACACACACAGTTCTTCCTACCAATGTATGACCTAAACCAGTCTGGTGCTGAAAATTAACATTAAAACCAGAAATAAGAGGAAAATGCATGAAATGTATGCAAAATATGCTGAGTCAGGAAAAAGAATGAATATAAAGTTGAAAATATTACTTAAAAGTGAGATTTAGGGATGGAAACCCTCTATATGAGACTTTAACTATAAGTGTTTGTAATGACAAAGTTGAAATGGTTTCATGGAGATGTGGGCGTCGCTTTCATTTGAATATTGGTGGGGGACACATTAACAGGAGGTCTGCGGTCGTCCTCCGGGAACTTTTGTGCGTCACACACTTTACATTCTGGTGAATTTTTTATGCACTTTGTTTTCCACTTTGTTCCTTTACTGCATCAATTTATGTGGAAATGTTTTTATTTATGTAGAGGAAAACAAAATTCAGGAAGCAGGTGACAGTTCAATATATAATGGAATATAATGCAGGAAGCTCTCAGACATTCTGTGCTGCTTTTAAATATTTATTCTCCCATCGATCAAGTCTTCTTCTTTTATATCATCACTGCCGCTTCAACACACATATAGGCATGATTTACTCTTCTACCCTTTTTTGTGTAGTTTGTTTGTTTCTTTAAATTTGCATGCGGCACCTTTTCAAGTCATTTGAAATAATCCATAAACCCAGTGGACTTTAATATAGCTCATGTTGAAAACTTTCTGCACATTCAGGACTAAATATTGAGCAGGATGTGTCTCCTGCATCGCCCCTGAAATCTACTCCTATGAATGACATCCAATAAATATAGTGACAATACTTTGGTGCTTTTGTTAAAAAAAAAAAAAAAAAAAAAAAACAAATTAAACAAAAAAAAAGCCTCCTTTTTAAAAAAAAATACATTTGAAAGTTTTGGTGGCTGTAGTTTTATGAAAAAAGTGAAACCAGGAATGGTTTTGACTAAAACTGTTAACTGCATGGTCGCAAACCAAACAGCAAGAAGACAAAGTTAGCAGCAAGCTCAAGCTCAAAACTGATATTTGTCGCGGTTACGGAACAAGGTTTATGGACTGATGAAACAAATATTAACCATTATCATGGACCAAAGAACCACCTCAGACATTCTTAACTGTTCAACTTACAGCTCACATCCAGCCAAACACATCATTTGAGTTTAGAATGAAGGTAATGTCCATCATCAGCTTTGGTTTTTCCTTTTCTCTACAACGCAAACATACATTTCACTGGTGACAGGGAATACAAGCTGTATCAGAAAAGTTTTAGGACTGGTGTCACAAAAGATATACTTCAAATCCAAATTACAAACTACAAGTTTTCCCCTTTGAAGTAATCTCCCTGGATTCTAACGCACGTTCCCAGCCTTCTCTGCCACGCTGCTATGCACTCCTGGAAGGATTCTTCTGGGATTCTCCACAGCTCTGTTGTCACAGCCATCTTGATGTTGTCCACATCTTCAAAACGGGTCCCTTTGATGACCCTCTTGAGCTTGGAGAAGAAGAAAAAATCCCACAGAGCAGGTGGGGTGAGTAGGGAGGTCGCTCCAGCACAGCGATGTTCTGAAATCTATCTTTTGTGACACCAGTCCTGGAACTTTTCTGACACACCTTGTACATTCTCCTCAGCATTTAGAACACGTGCTCTCATCCCGCCCAATAAAAACATGAAAGAAGAGAAAACTTTTATTTTGAAAAATAATGGTGTGCTGACTCAGCAGAGATGATATTGAATGAGAAAAGTTAATCTACAGGATAATAAATACTTGACAGCTATACAGAAAGCCTGAGAGGCTCGCTGAATTATATTACATGATATTTTCCCCTAATGCCAGAAGTTACTGTTCTCCTTTAAACAAATTTCCACCATAAACTGATGCAGAAAAGGCAAAAATGGTGCATAATGCAGGAAATTAAGTGGCTGACTGTGGGGGAGCCTCCACCTAATGCTTCCTCTAATACATACTCTGTGTCTATCCAGACTGGCTTCAATCACAGTAAAACTCTTGATGAAAATAATATTACATCTTAAGAGTTGTTGCTTCAGCTGTATTTTAAGCTGTAATGGTGGAAAAACTTGACTGCTGCCTGAAAGATCTGCAGCCTTTTGTAACACACGGTTTGTACTGCCTATGAAACATTTAGCTTGCTTTGAATCCCCCCCCCCCCTCTCAAGCGCATGTTCCTGTCTTGACATTTTCCTAAAATACCAGTGAATGGCATTCATGATTCAGCTGGACAATAACACAATCAAGCAATTGTGGGATGAACCAGATCACTGAAAGCGAATAAGACTTTTTCCTCCCACAAATCCTTGAATAGCATCACCATTTAAACATCAGTCTGAGTGAGCGCTAATGTCTTCTGACACGGCATACTGTTAAGGCCACTCATTCCCAATCACAACTCTGTCAGGGAGCTCTTCCAGCGTCTTGTCGGC